TAAAATAATGTATCAAAAATCAGTATGCTATATAACTTGACCCTAAAATAATGGACTCTAATAAATAGTTTTGATAATCCATAATCCAAGATCCATAATCTGAAATAAAAAAATGATTGGAAAACATTAAAAGAAAACCCGATTGCGTTTGGTCCATTAATCATTTGAAAATGTAACAGCGTTTACCGCGGCAACAAAATAATAATATTTAATAATTAATTAATAACCTTTCAACCTTTAATCTTAATAAAATTTCATGTAGGCATCTACAGTAAACATTTAATTTTTGATAACAATCCAGCGACATGCTTCGACCTGGCCGACACGCGAAAATTCCAGATTTGGAGAAACATAACGGTTGCTAGAAAAACTCAATTTCAAAAAAAATATTTTGTCTAAATCGAAAATCGCAAAAATTACTTCAAAATCCCGAGATACTTGATACTATGTAAAATTTCCCATATACACAATGCAACAAAATTTCAACGGAGGGAAGTCCGAGGTCGATATTAGTTTGAACTTTGAGCTAACCTAGAGGGCGCTCTCACATTTAATATTGAGTTATTGTTTATAATTTTTTACCCTGTAAAACTGATACTGTTTGACCTTATAATAAATAAAGGCCACTCACAATCTTTGAATATTCCCATTGGACATCTGTTATTTAAAAAAGTGCATACAGATATCTCACAAATTACTTTTAAGGAAAAAACTGATTTATTTATATTACTCTATCAATTCGGTAAATTTGCAAACAAAGCAAAAACACGCACATATAATAATTTGACATGAAACCTCAGAAAAATTAAACAAAGACAAAAATTGTGGATTGAAAGCTCCAATGAAAAGTTTTCTTGCCGCTGCTGAGCATGCTTTTCGTTCAAAAACCCGCGAAATCGCTTAACCTGATCACCCGGTAACACGGTCCACTCCAAAGCGTTAAAATTCGACCCGCCTGCCGTTTCGCACGTATATATATTATAAATCCGCAAGACCTTCGTCGGCGATCGCTAATCAGATTCAAATTATTTCCAATCTCTTCCATCATCATTACGATTTTTATTAAATAAAACGCAACGGCGCGGCGGAAAACCTACCGTAACAAACGGCCATCTTCACAAATTCGGATCTCCCCAAAATTATTCGAATTCCGAAAAAGGTTCAACTATTATTAAACAAAAGTCTTCGCTGTCGGTTACTTCGAGAGTCCCTTAATAAAACTATATAAAATTATGGCAGTATAACGACGGGTTTTAAGAGAAGACGACACGGGTTCGGCGTAAGAACGGCGGTTTCGGGGGCGGTTGCCGTCGAAATTCAGCGTCTTTTAACCAATTTCTGCGAATTGAACACGATCTCTCTGTTCCACGTGTAATGGTAGCTGCACTTCATGCTATACGCGTCGACGGTGCTTATCATTTGCAAAGCGAACCATCGGGCCACGGGAATAGTTACACTGAACGGTTGTCTCGCGGTCCGAAAAACGAGAAATCGATTTTAAAAATAACTGACGCGAACACTGACCGAATTGACAACTGACTGACTGCGAGAAAGAGAGCGGGGTCGTACCTCACGAATCGCGCTAAAACCCCCACCACCGCCGCGCTGACCACGTGAGCGACAACAGATAACAGCGGAACGCGTTGATTTTTTTTCTTTTAACGTATACCGTGCGGACGCATTTAAAACGCGTGCGTTATGCGCGACGAGAAAACGCGCGGTGTCGATGTAGCCTATTTTCCTTTTAATGTGACAACTACACCTTTTTTCGATTCCAAGAGATATCTGGATATTAAAATGATACTATTTTATCACACCTTGCTGTACCACGAAGCTCGATAATTCGTCGTTTCATCCGTCTATTTTACATGGCTAATCCACGTCTCTCTTTCTATCTAAACCTCTCTCTTTTTATACTTAAACTCCACTTTCTAAACTTCTTTCTATTTCTCTCCCTCTCTAAAGTTGTTCGTCTCTATCGCTCTAACTTCTCACCTCCCCTTTTTCTAAACTGCCAACGGCTTCTCGGCCTCTAAAGCTGTAATCCATAAAACGTCCGGCATTTGGTCAAAATGTCGTACAAATCCTCCTCTTCCACACAAACGAGACTCCTTTTACAGGTATGATCTGTTCATAGATATAAGAAAGTGGCCAATTGCTTTTGAATAGATTATTCAAGGGTGGTCATTAACATAAAATGCAACAAGATTATTGTTATTAATTAAGGAAATTAATAATTAATTAATTATTAATTAAGGTAATAATCTTGTTGCATTGTATGTTAATGACCACCCTTGAACAATCCGTTCAAAAGCAATTGGTCACTTTCTTATATCTATGAACAGACCATAACACAACATCCTTCGGGTGGGTGTACATATGACTTCCGTTTGTTCGTAACCTGTTCTATGTTCCCAAGCGTAGTACGGCTGCGTTTCAGAGCTCTTTCACATATAACACTATTAAAACTTACAATTGGCTTCCACTGGATATTATTAGTTGTTCATTAACTTCTACATTTAAAAAGGAACTAAAAGAGCGGTGACATTGAGGAGAGGTTGAACTGCTTTTTTTTATTCATTTATTTTTTTTACTTATTGTTTTTCTTTTAGTCGGTTTTGAATATTGCCTTTTCCAGTGTCTATTTTTTTTTCTTTTTTTTACATTTATCCCCTTTTGATTTGTTTAAAATTATCAAATTAAGGGAGTTATTTATATATGTTAGTTTTTTTTTCTTGTAAAATTCGGAACATTCTACTACATTGTATTGGTGGTTACGTGGAGTAGCGATGCTAAACTTCGCCACCTGTTCAATTCTATTGTGGAATATTTTTTTTGTTGTATTTTAATAAAGACCATTTATTATTATTATTATTATTTGGCTGCCTGACAGTATTTTAATATTTCCGACCACAAAAAATAATGAAGAGGTCACCAAAAAAACGATTGTGTAGTTGAAAAGATCAACAGGGTAAGAAGTAAACGATACTTAAGCTTAGATAAACACAAGGATGCACTAGCTAGTTCTTCCAACTTTTTCCGACAAGAAATTTTGGCGACAAGGCCGCGTCGAACTTTCATACACTTTCCAGAAATCTAATTTTATGGCTAAATGCAGCGTAGAAGTCAGCAGAGTTTTAAAATCAAGTCATTTAGATGTGTATCTAGTAAAACAAAAATGAGTACTATTTTTTTTGTTGTATTTTAATAAAGACCATTTATTATTATTATTATTATTTGGCTGCCTGACAGTATTTTAATATTTCCGACCACAAAAAATAATGAAGAGGTCACCGAAAAAACGATTGTGTAGTTGAAAAGATCAACAGGGTAAGAAGTAAACGATACTTAAGCTTAGATAAACACAAGGATGCACTAGCTAGTTCTTCCAACTTTTTCCGACAAGAAATTTTGGCGACAAGGCCGCGTCGAACTTTCATACACTTTCCAGAAATCTAATTTTATGGCTAAATGCAGCGTAGAAGTCAGCAGAGTTTTAAAATCAAGTCATTTAGATATGTATTACATTTTTTATTAGAAATTACCAAAAAGTACACAACTATAATTATAGAAGCTGCTACTATATTAATTAGTAATTGTGTTGGCTCCTTTAAGATGTATTTTCGATACTATAATGGCTACAAATCGAAAGGTTTTCAGGAGATCATAAAAAACATATGTTTAATATTTCCATTTTATTTTTATTTTCCACTAAAATACCCTATTTTATAGTAATCGTACTATAATTATTAAAATTATTATTTTGTCTTGTGCAATGCAAACACAGTACGAAGATCGAAGTGTATGAAAAATGGTATACTAAAAGTTGCGTAGAATTATTAAAAATCGTCGGTCCCGTACACAACTCAAAATCTGCCATTTCCAGACAAACTACAAAACAATTTTATCTCCCGCGGGCATTTTTTTTCTCAGATATATAACAAGTTCAGAATCGGTTATTACGAGATGAGCTTTATATATTACAAGGCCGAACCTCTTCTCATCGACAAAAAATCAATGTGCTCAGATATTCTCAAAGATAATAAACCGAAAACACCAGGTCGCCCAACGGCATATGGGACAACGAGTATAATATACGAACCTTCTCCGTCAAAAAACTAAATACCCCGATTTGTTTCCGTCTTAACCGTTTTTAGACCCCATTTCCGTCCATCCTTATCGAAAGTCAAATAAATATATAGAAACAAAAGTTATCGGTGACCTATAAGCCCTCGCTGCGTCTGCGTCTTTAAACAATGGACGGTTTCAGTCCGACATAAAAAAAAGAGACCAACGGATTTTGCAACAAGAAATGGAAACCATATTCGTGTAGCGCACAACGCCGCATAACGAGAAAAATTTGAACTAAACTATTCATACAAAAATATGATTGTTTTACTCCCTACTTTAAAATATCCAATACCCAAATGCACTGATTCGGGTTCATTTGCTACCGTTGCGAGTCACTTCGGGCATTTCGGGTGTTTCAGTCAAGGGTTTTGATATAGATCGGATGTTTTCGGTTGATCTAAGCCACTAATGGTATTTTGAAATTGGTCAATTCTCACGGTCACGTCACACGCCACTCAGTGAATGTGCTCTTTTATAAAAATGTACTCAAAAACTAATGGACCTAGAAAAAGTGAAGTATGCAACATGTTGATAAACTTCTTGATCACTCACTTATTAAGCACTCATTCTGCTCGTGCTATGTCAAACTCGTAACTACACATTTGTGATCACAAAGCGATAAAATCTACCACAAATAAAAATGGTTATTTCAGCTTTAATTGCACCTTTCTCATATTAAAAAATATACTATGTACCACCATTTCATTATTTATAGTGAATGTTTGCCTCTACCAAGATATAAACCAAGCAAACACATTGATCTGGATCCCACAATTTGTAAATTTGCAGTATACTGGGATTTTTTTTCAATGATCAGTGCCATAATGACATAGTAAAAGATCATAATAGAGCATGGCATAGAATCTTACCTTCTTTGATGAGATCATCTAGGTCCATAAGATTTTCCAGATTTTCCAGAATGTGAGAGGCAACTTCCGCCTTGGACTCCCATATGAGAAGGTTGTCTTCAGGTTTTACATCCTCTAGAGATGTTTGATAAAAACTGTCGTCAAGCAGCGAAGCCTCCTCAATGCTGAGGGGCGAAACAGGCTCCTCTTTCCACAGCAACACGGACTCCATTGATGATGTCGGTGTTGCAAGGAACAAATATGGAGGAATTGTTGTTTAAGTTTTCTGATAACGTGGAAGGGACTACAACCAGCAAAAGGGGCGCCATGGTGGCCCTTGAAAGGTAGAACGAGAAATATTAACGTTTTAAAAATAAATGATACACGTATTTACGAGAAACTCCATTATTATTCAAGACACAACGATGTCATTTACACGTTACTTTTTTTGAGACTTACGTAGAATCAGATTTGAAATAGCACGATAGTATCTTAGTTAATATGGAAGATATTTTGACATTGTAAATTATTATTAGAAATAAAATGGCGCATTTAATATTTGATTTCCACGTTTTGTGTTTTCACGATCCCCAAGTATGATTTATAAAAACAGACTAAATTATAAAGTTTCATGATTAACAATAAAAAAGTAGAAAACAATATATTGTGACAATATCTCTAGAAATCTGATCTGAAAAGTAGGGCACCAATGAGCACGATATCTTTGTTTCATAATAACGGAATTCCTCATAACGAGACATCGAAAATGAGACATATTTTCCGATAACTCTAAAGTGAAGAATCCATAAGACTCTATGTACTTTAATACTATTTATTTTTATTATTTTTTATAATTTATTAATCCAAAACTTTTACTTTATTTAGCAATACTAAATCAGCCCAGTGAATGGGAAAGCCTTTGTAGTACGGTATCGATTTATCTTGACCGATGTTGACAAAATGATGGGATCTAACGAATAATTTCATTCGTACTGGCACGGGTATGCTTATCAATAATTGTGATACTACGACATAAGCCATGAATGTGAAGTTAAAAATGCAAAATCATTGATACGTTTTTCAGTTCAACAACGGGAAACGCTAAAAGGCGATACAACTTTCACCGATGGTGTAGGAAAGTTCGTCCTAATTTTCGATAACATACAATGATTAAAATTCCAGTATAGGCAACCGAACAATAAAAAATAGCAAAAAAAAAAAAACATCGGCATTGTAAAAACTGTCGTTGAAATTCCCATATGGCAAACCCTATGCAAATCAAATTTCCAATGACTGTTGCCATATAAACATAAGAATATTTTTCGTTCTAATTTTTAAGTCTACCCTTCCATGTAGTTATTATGGCGGGTAATTGAGCTTTGAAATATGTAGGCTGACGTAACAATAAAGAATCCAAATCCGAACAAAAATTGTAATGGTGAAAAAGTTGTTACTTACGGCATTGCGATTATATTTTCTGGCACACTTGCGTGTGCAAAACACATTGCAACTAGAAATCCATTGCGCCCGCGTGGGTTACACTTAAGCAAAATTAAATAATACTTTACAAATCCATGAGTGAAACCGGAATGAAGGATAAATGGCGTCGTTTCAAAAAAATCAATTCCATCGTTGCCGCTAACACCACTTTATCCTTCGATTTAATTAAATATTTAAACTCAACTCACTTAAATTTTCTTTGTCACCACAAAAGTTTGTAATTGTGATTAAGCAAAATAAAACACAATATCATTTATTTCATGCTGGTTAATAAACCCAAAGACTTTTAATGAATTTCTGTTTTCTGTGACGTAACTTACCAATTCCGTATCAATGAATTTCTGAAAACTTGATATTTTATTAAAATACATCTATTTTCTCATGGGTGGATACTATGCATGGGAAATAATAAACTCGCTGGAGATGATTGAAGGCAGTAGTTTAATCAAATACTTCATAATTTCCTAAGTTTGTAAATAACCACTTTTTCCACAAATCCTCCACAATTTTACTAAATGTAATTTCTCGAAAAACTTCGCTACGGCTGGATTCTACAAAGCCCATTTTTAAGAACATGTTAAAACTAGCAATGTTATCATAGGATATTTTAACCACAAATTGTTTTACATAGAGATAATTTATGGCGTACATAAACATTAGCAGCATAGCCTCCCAACCACACTTTTTCCTTCGAGCCCATTCTTCAGCTATCATAATTTCGGCTTCTGCGCAAATGCGGTCTTCTGAATTTGCAAAAAATAAATTGGTATCTCCAATCATTGCTTCTACAATTTATTTTTAGTGATTCAATGATTTAAGAAGTTAAAGGATTATTTCGTACCTACTTCATCTTTGGTTGCTTCATATTTCTCTTTAGAGAGAACTATAAACGTGCATTCTAAAAGTTTCAATTATGCAAAATGCAAAATACAGTTAGTAGAACTTACTATTCTCATCTCTAAGCCAAGACCTTTGCATCTCATATTCAGCATCTAAACTCAAAGGCTCAGAGGCGGTGAGTTTTTGTAATTCCTCAGATTGCATCCATTGATGGTATCTAAAAATTGGATAGACAATAAATAGTGTGCATAATGAAGCACATCAGTACAACTTTGGAACGTGATGTTCCCTGTAAGGTACCAAAACCACATTCTTGCCTTTTATAACTGTATTCTTATTTATCAGCATATCACACAGGCTGTTCTATTTACCATCAAAACTATGGAATAAAAATGGTATGTTTACAAAACTTGACCAAGATCAGTTCAGTGCAGGTATCTCTTTCGAAAATCTTTCTCTTTAAAGCTTTTTGATTCTTTTCACCACTAATTGGGAAGTATTACTGACTAGTGTTGTGTCAATCGTTCATTTTACGACGACCGCGAATTAATCAGTGACAGATTTTGAAAAGGACCCCGAATCATTTCAATCAATCTTTCACTTTTCAATACTTTTTGATGCCAACATAAGCGGCAATAGAATTATTGTTGTGTCTATATGTTATGTTTTCTGTTCTAGTTAGTATAATATTTAGCTGTGTCCTTTTTATTTGAGCATGATATCAAAATAGGGGTTGGGGTTGGTATTGGTTTGTACCTGTGTGGAAATAGATATTTCATTCAATATTCCATTCAACACATTATAACAATACTTTGCTTTTCCGTGGCCTGTTTCGATTTGTTATGATTTGTTTTGATACGGTTGGTCGATCGGTTGTCCTGTATCGGTCACTTCAAACCGGTCAGGGCGGCAGCAAGATCGAACAAGGTGATCGAATGGTTACAAGCGGGATTCGGTCGTTGGATCATTTGAAGTGACCGAATCATTCGTGGTTGACACAACTCTATTTCAATATACAACCATGGGAATGCAAATCTCAGAGCAAGAAAATAAAGAAGAAGTCATTGGCTTAATAAATTACTGTTTTTGGAGTGTTCACACTTCTCGAGGACTATCCATTTTTTTTAGATGGTTATTCTTGGAAAATGACTGGCCGAATGATCCTTATAAATTTGCTATTAACAGCAAAAAAGAAGAAAAAAACTGCGGTGTTGCCAGATCGTCTGGTATCAAAATGTATCTTTGACTAATTTTACTTGGAGTTTTTCTCTTAGCTCTCTTTCAGTTAAAATGAGACCATTTTCTGTCGTTCTGTGATTTAATTAAACTTCATCTTTTTTTTTTATCTAAGCCTGTTTGCCACAAAAATCGAAGGGAGGGAATGTTTTTATTCGAAATAATATATTTTTCATTTCTAATGCGTTAGTTTCACTCCTCAAATATGGGACGTAGATCTATTAATACCACGAAAAGTGGTAAATATATGAACCCAACAGACCAAGCAAGTAAGTAATCGTTAATAAGGAATACCAGCCGTTAAGCTGTGATTTTCAGGAAAAGAAGCCAGGAAACAGGAGCTTAAGAAAAACAAAAAGCAGAGACAAATGGTAAGGGCTGCTGTGTTAAAAGGCAAAGATCCCCAGCAGATTCTCGAAGAAATGGAAAAGATAGACCAGATGGAGTACAATGTGAATCAGCCTTCTCCTTTAAATGAGAAAGTGTTGAAAGACAAGCGAAAAAAGTTAAGAGATACTTTGGACAGGGTGCTCAGTATGTACTACAAAGATGATCCTGAAAAATGGTCTGAATTGAGGAAAAGACAGTCAGAATATGAACACAAACGTAATCAGTTGGTTAGCTTTTATGAGTCTGTCAAAAGTGCTCAGCAGGTGACAGTTGACGAAATACCTTTGCCACAGCTTCCTCAGCAGGCGTCTAATGTTCACAATAATATCCCATTGCCCGCGACTGAAAGAAAGCCTGAACCAACAATTTATTCTATTGCTACGGCTTTAAAACTGCAAGCTTTGGGACAACCTGTTAGAGAACCGCCAGGATGTCCTGTTGGTCCACCTCCTGACATAAATGACGAAGGAGAAGTTGAAGAATTTGGTACCAGAACCACAGGGGATGAAGAAGTTGATGAAGATATAGAAGATGGTGACTTGGGCAAATCGAATAGACCTACATCATTGCAACAAAAAATGGTTGCATTGTCGGGTCAAAATGTCGACGATTTTATGAAGGAAATGGAAACGGTACAGAAGAAATTGGATGCGGGTAAAGAAGATGACAGAAGTAAGGCTGCCCTTTCTGAACCGCTAATGCCACCGGGCACAAACGATACGATACCGACGTTGCCGTCTTTGCCGCCCAATTCCACAGGGATTCCGCCTCCTCTGATATTTGCCGGCCCTGGCTTGAGGTTGCCGCCAGGTCCTCCTCCAGGGAGACCACTAATGCCACCTGGGCCTCCACCTGGACTGCCGCCTAGGCTACCTTTGCGACTTCCTTCAGTTGCGCCCAGACTGATTCGTCTACCAGGGCCTCCTTTGATAACAGGACCGCAGGGAAGTATACAACCCAACGTGTTGTCCGCAGCTCCACAGCTTATCAACCGGTAAGTTACTCGAGGTCTGCTTCGAATGTAGTAATATGCTTGGGTGGATTTTAGGAATGAATCCAGTAAACAAGGAGCCACAATATCCGCGAAGCCGCAGATAAGAAATCTTAGCGCGGACGTCACAAGGTTCGTACCATCCACACTGAGGGTCAAGAGGGAAGAGAAAAAATCAAAACCAGTAACGAGTTTGGCTCGCGAGCTCAAACACAAAGAGATGATCATGAATAAAAAGGCGTTCGAAGGGCAAAGCACGAAAGACGACGCTTACAAACAGTTCATGCAGGAGATGGAAAGGTTAATATAATTTATTGTGCATAGGTGTAAATAAAAACAAACAAAAAATGGCTTAATGGTTTTATTTGCGGCAGTCGTCCACCATACACATAATTTGGGATTCTTTGATTCCCGCGCAAAAATAACTTATACAATATTATACCTTAAAGAATATGGAATATAAATAATGAGAAAATGTATTTGGTAATTAGACTATATATTCTAAGCAAAATGATTTGGTGTGAACTCAAGTATGTACAAGTATGAACTTAAATTTAACTTATCCTGACCTAAGACTTAAATCTCTAATATATTGTGGAGGAAGAGGTAGTCTCTTCTTATTGGTTACTAAGGGCAAGGAGCGAGGCCTAGGAATACTGTGTGTAAGAGAGAGAGAGAGAGAGAGAGAGAGAGATGTATACAGGGAATGGATGGACTGGCTACATTAGCGCCATTCCTTACTGTCTTGTGATTGTCTCAGAATGTTTGAAATATTTAAATTCATTAAAACAATGACTACTTTAGCATTTTCTTAACCATATTGGCTATGTGATGTTAACGATTAGAAATTGTTGAATCTTGCTGTGACTCTTTCCGCTTTACGGTATCATTGACATTCGATTACAGCCCGCTGGTGCCCAATACTAAATGAACCACTCAACATACGCTACATATGAAGTCTTATGTACAAAAAATTCTACTGTAGAAATAATCTTGTGATAAGAAAATAGGTACCTGTACTTGTACGAGTATTTGCAACTGAGAAATGAATTTGCGGCGACTATTCCCGATTCGTTTCTCATATTTGTAAGGTCTAATAAATACAGGACTAGGTAATAAGTCGATATGATATGTAGGAACTACCTTGGCGAGAATATGTTTATCGAGTTTGTGTTTGTCCTCTTCCTGATCAATTTGGCAGATACTGAAAGGGGGAACGCTTTTAGATAGATGCCACAAACAAACAAACAAATTTGCATTGGATTACCTGAATAATCTTGAGGGGAAAAGGGCCGTTCAATGACCCTCTCCAACACTTCGATCCAGTGATCTCTATCCAGTTCTGACTGAGATGACAGATTATAGACCCTGTCAGGTGTGGTTAGCATAAAAGAGAACCCTTGATCTTTTACTCCTCTTGTCACCCCTATTCTAACACTGTATCCGTCACATTGCTGACCAATAAAAATTTCTCCTTTGGGATTGGCATCCAAAGGCTCATCATGATACATCAGTTTCCGACTGTCAAGGGTAAACCATCGTTTCTTGAACCCATCGCTGGTTCGTGGCCCGGTTTTCCACAACCAGCCTTCCTTAGCAAAATCTTCGGTCAGATAATTAACCAGGTCATGTTCGCTAGCAGATGGGTAAGCCACTTGTAATCTATGCAATTTGGCACATCTTATTGCCATGTACCAGTTCATGACAACTTCTCCTTCATCGTGATATACATAGATGTGCCGGGTCGTTCCGTCTTTCAAAAAGGTAAACTAATAACAAAGTTTATAAAATTATAGAAAACAAGCTAGAAAATAAACTTGCCTGCATTGAATTGGGATAAGAAACTTTTTCAGGGGCTAAGACCACATTAATATCGGAGATCTTCAGCACTGCTTTTGGATCCTTGTGCTCCATAACAAAATATTTAAGAGTATCATCAACTTCTGACAACACAAACTTTCGTGAACGGTATTTACTATCTTCTTTCCCCCGTTTCATTAAAAATCCAGAATAATAACCGCTTGTGTAAGTCTGCCTCTCCGGATAGCAAAACTCTTCCCTTTGGTATTTGGCCCTGATCCACTGTTCAACCAGAATTCTGCAAATGAGTATTTCAACGCTTTTAGGTAGTCACAATGATGTCACAATATTCTACATGAACAGATTAATTGAAGCCAAGGTGACTAATAAATAAAAATATGTTTCAATTTTAGATCAGATGTCACAATTAATTTACAGCTACTTTATGTCCAACAGTAAATTTCCAAGACATTACATATTAAGAAACAAATGACACTTTACCCTGATAAGTTCAGAGACCACATCAAGCAATGCAGGCATTCTTGATCAAAATAAATTACTTCTATTACTTACTGTGGATCATCTTCTTTTGGTCGTCGGTAACAAGGAGGCACTCTTTCTTCATATTTCAGTTTTGCTTTTATATTACCGACTACTTTCATCCTCTCGATTTGCGAGTCCTCCCACCGATCAAGTTTCAAATGCTTGACTTTGCTAATGTGTACGCCCATACTACGATGCACACCGGAACATCGTGTGCAAATAAATATACCGATGTTGTAAGAAGCCCATTCCGGATCTAATAAATTATCTAACTTATTCTTTCTGTACAATAATCAATTTCAAAAATTAATAAATGAAATAAACTTACTGTGATGCAGGTTAATTACACTCATCCATAAATAATTAAAAACAAATCTTTTTTGACAAGCAAGAAACAGAAAATAAAGTGAAAAAAGTTTATTTACAAATAGAGAAAAGCATGAGGGTCGCACGCGTAAATCGCTTTTCACTTACTTTTGGCACCACAGTCCGCACACAGGCCATTTCCGTTAAGTTTTAACAATTCGTGTAATATCTTCTCGTTTCTATCCACCATTTTGCACTTAAAATCTCGTTTTGTTTACTGAGGCTTGAAATTTAATTAATTATTCTACGCAATCAAAATAAAAATAAAGCCGTCCATTTTTAAAACAAACTTCACATCGTCATCAAAGAAAAAATAAAAGGATGATTTTCTTCTTAATTTTCTTTCATGGACGAACCTATTTACAAGAAGCAGTCGTCCACTGGCAAATGTAGCGGAATATATGGCCTTTTCCAACTCTCTGCCATTGAAACAATTTACTGTCTCATGTTCAAGTTCAAAACTCAAAGCAACTTCAACCATCAAAAATCATTTTGAATGCAAAAAATTGTTCTGTTTCATCTTTCCAACTATAACAACCCAATTCTACAATCCCTTATCTTTGCTGAAGGTCATTGTCGTTGTGCATTAGATTGGTCAATTTCATTCTGGGAAAAAGTCCTATAAGTTAAAAATTATTAGTGCCTTTTTCGAAATGAATAATTTATTGACAAGAGTCGTTGCTAAACAGTTTGTATTTAAAAACGTTATAAGATCTATAAAAACCGCACAACCAATATGCGGCTCTTTTAAGGTGCAAGACGATAAAGATTTTACTGAAAAAGTTGAAAACAGTAAGGAACCTATAATCGTCGATTTTTACGCAACGTATGTTAACTGAGTAGCATGGTATTTATTTTTTCTTTAAAATCGTCTTTTTAGGTGGTGTGGTCCTTGCAAAGCATTAGAGCCTCGTCTTGAGAATGTTATCGCTCAGCGAAGAGGAGATATCCAGCTAGCCAAAGTTGACATCGACGATTTGGGTGAACTAGCTGCTAAATATGAGGTAGGTTAGTCGATTTTTAATTAAATATGGTTAAACTAAACCTTGTGAACTTTTTAGGTTAGTACAATTCCAGCTTTGGTGGCTTTCCAGAATGGAAAAGTTAAAGAACGTCTAGTGGGATTGCAAGATGAGGATAAATTGAATTTGTGGATTGATAATGTCTTAAAAAAATAATTTTATCTTAGACCTAAAACAAACTACCACAAATAAATTAATTTTGTTGTATAATGGATTATTTTAGTTAAGTGCTTCAGTTCAATAAATTCACAAATGCACCATTAGGGAGCTTTATGGACATGTAATTACCTTCTAAATGGTAGGTTTAGTTTAATGATATGAAGCCTGTGTAGTAAGTTTTTGTATTAAATTGTATTTATATTTATTCTATTAAATTTGTTACTGTTGAAAGTAAAATTTCTTGCTGGGTAAGCACTCCATATTTTATTCCAAACATTAAGTACTACAATTGAATGAATTTAGATTATTATAGAGCATATCATTAGTTGTCCTGAAACATCTATAGGAACAGAAATCAGAGATTTTTCATCTGATATAGTGGTACTGAAGAGAAATTCCATTAATATAGATATTATCAAACAATAGTGCCATGACAGGTTTTCGTTACCGAAGAATGGGCCTGTCTTGATTTTTCATTTGTAAAAATGTTTTTAAGTAAAAAAAAACATTTGTTAAATAGAATGCATAAAAAGTAGAAGAATGAGGTTAATATGTAATTTGTCTATGCGTTAAGTTATTAAAGATTTAAAAAGTGTATTTACCAGGATTATGTCCGATTCAGAGCAGGAAAATGAAAATTTTTGCTTTTATGGAAAGCCTTTAGATCCTTATGACGAAGGTATTCAGGGATGCGAGATATTTCAAACGAAAAATGCTATTTACAATTTTGTATCCTTGAAATTTTAGATGCATTCCCTAAAAGGCGACCCATTTCCGTTGAGGAACAGATTGCTACTGATGCACAAGGTAGGCGACGGTTTCATGGTGCATTTACAGGAGGTTTTTCTGCCGGATTCTTTAATACTGTCGGATCCCTCGAAGGATGGACTCCAAGGGAATTCAAAAGTACCAGACAAGAGAAAGCCTTGCTACATAAGCAGAAACCGGAAGATTTTATGGATGAAGAAGATCTGGGGGAGTTTGGTATAGCACCCCAGGTTGTTAAGGCGACCAAGGAATTTTCTACATCAAAGAAGAGAAAAAAACAGTTTTCAGATGGGCCTATTCCTGGTGAACCAGTGCTGCATAAGATTTTGGAAAGTGGAAATGAAACAGTGGGTTACATTTTGCTCAAAAACATGGGCATAAGGGATAAAATAAGGGAAAGTCAAGAAGCAGAGAGCTCTCAAAATAAAATTTATGGGTGTGAAATTCCCAAGTCATATGAAATTCCAGATGATATCCATGCCAAACAGTACCAGGTGCCTGAAATTTACAAACAATTGCTAATTAACCCCAAAGATAACACTTTTGGCTTGGGTTACTCAGGGTTAGATAATGTTAATTTATTTCCAGATCAAAGCTTAAAATTTGTTGTTGCTGGTAAAGGCAATAAAAAAATGTCAATAACAGGTCAGGCTTTTGGGGTAGGAGCTTTTGAAGAAGATGATGATGATATTTATGTGAAGGAGGATATGAATAAATATGATTTCGAGTTAGGGGAAGAGAAAATTTCCGAATCACAAAAACAGGTCCTAAAAAAAGGCGCCATTTTTGATACGTTTTTGAAAGCTAAGAGTCCCCTGTTGCAGAAAACTTACTTTGCACCTCCCCACATTCCTCATAGCTTTACTGGTAAGCACAAAATTAAAAAATCAAGGTTTGAGCCTTTGTTAGAAGATCAAAACAAGAATCCAGAAAAAGTAAAAATTAATCCACTACTGAGGGCAAAGTATTTAGGTGAAGACACACAAGAGGAATTTACACCATCAAAATCGATGTCAGGATCCGAAAAACAAAAGATTAGGAAAGAGGATTTACTTCCAAGTACATCGCAAAAAAGTTTTGATGCTTCTTCAATTTATCTAAACGACAAATTCATCTCATCATCTGAAAATGAGAATGTTTACGATATTTTGGAACCTGTGAAGAAAATGGGTACCACCCATGGCACAGAACAAATGAGGGACGCCGCGCGGATGAAAATGTTTGGGCCCTTGACCCGGATTACAACCGACTTCATCCCTTGTTCAGCTCTATGCAAACGGTTCAATGTTCCAGAGCCTCATACTGAGTAAGTTACTATTATTCAGGTTATTGTCACTGTTATATCTGTCAACAGCTTTCTGTGTTTGAATTTAATGGGAACCTTTAGAATGTAGGCATTATTCATTCATTAATGCTGCCTTGACGTTGTAACTACGAATTTGCAATTGGTAATACCAAACTTGTATTTTTGACAGTTTTACAGTAATCTCTCTTTTTACTATTATTATTATCTTGTAACACCAATTTTGGCAGTCTAAGTTAGCACATATCTAAAAAGGTGACGTAATGTCTTTTTCATTCATCTTTATAATTTAATTTTTAGAAAATTGGAACATACCAGAAAAAAAACAAAAAATCTCATTTTTGAATATCAAAAACACAAAGAGAATGAAACTTTTACACCAGGGTTATCTACGAACCCCACCGACCAGGCAGAAAACATAATAAAATTGGAACACAGTGAAGAGAACCCTATTGAAAACAACCAACCAACAGCTACAGAAAAAGATACAGGAATGAACCAGGAAACAGAGGCGCCATATCCAGAGATAGAGCAAAATGTATCTAAAGATATAACCGACAAATTAAATGTGGATCAAAACCAGGATTTGTTCAAAGCTGTCTTTCTGAGCAGTGATAGTGAATCGGAAAATGAGGGAGAACATGAAAATGAGAAGATTAAAAAGAATGAAGAGTTTAAACAAGTCGTTTTGTCAGATCAGATGATTCCAAAGTTAAAGCCAATTAAGGAAGGGATTTTGTCCAATGTAAATTTTCATGTTTTCAAAAAACCAAATTTCGCAACAAATGACCAGAAAGAGGTCGAAGACGATAAAAAAATTGTGGAAGTTAATGCGGAAAGAAAAATAGATCCCAGTCTGTACGGTCCCAGAATTCCAGAAAAATTTCCCCAAGAAAAGGGTGAAGAAAGCATAAAGGTATCGAGTGACAGTGAGGATGAATGGATAGAAAAGGACGGGTCAGAGACAAGAAAACACATCTATAAAAGAGAGAGGAAGCGCAAGAAACATAAAAAGAAACGAAAGAAAGATAAAATAGGTTAACAAAAAATTTAATGGATTTAAGTCTGGTTTTCTGTGATATTGAAATAAACTATCCCTTGTATTAAATTTGTTTACCTGAAAGTGTCATTAGCGATTAATAAATGGAATGCGGTGATCAACTAAACTCTCTTGTTTAGTTGCCTCTCGTTGAATTAGTCTCGCATTTAATAAACTTTTTGTTCAAAGAAAGATAGTAACACTTCATCGTTGTGGCGAGAGGAGGTTGAAAACATCGATTTTTCTGTGGAGGGTTTTACTTGGCTCATTTAAGCAATATTGATACGGTAAACAAAACAGAAAGAGGGTTTTACTTGGCTCATTTAAACAATATTGATACCGTAAACAATAGAAAGATCAAAACAATAAAAATAAAGGTAACTGGAATTAATAAATAATTCAACGTAATTTTAGGTTAGGTTGATGCTATAGCATTATCGGATTCTATAATCATTAATAGGCCAGAATGAGTTATTTTAAACATTCACTCCATAGGTGGCGGTACCTTAGCTAAAGCGAGCGTTCTTTTTACTAATTTAGCTTATAAGGTAAGGTATTCTCGAGTTTTTTAGTTGAACGATATTGACTCAAAATTTTAAATACTTAAATACTATAACAACTAACCGCAAAAATACTTGCATTAGAATAACTATAAAACACATTGTTTATAACCTACTAGTGTTACATCTGACTCTAATTTTACGAAATAATGCGAAAAAAAGTTATAATTTGTTTGCAATTTCCTATATACCATAATCAATGGATTCCTATTTTTGTATTTCCTTTATTGACAGCCATTGCAATAATTTTGAATTTTCTTGAAAAATCTACGCCACCAATGTCAAAAGTGTGCCGTGGAGCGGCCTCCATGTTTTAACTTTGAGCAAAGCAAGGCAAAGGCAGAATAACATCTCGTCCTGAACATCTGTGCTATATACGGCATTCAAAAGTTGTTAATAAGACCCTAACGACTTATTATGAGCGCAGAAAAGGACGCGGCGGTTCCGACGCCACCCATATTCGTTCACACTCAAGATTTGTTGGAGTCGCTGGTAAGTTGTTTAAGTTATTCTGATCAGTTCGTAAATAATAGCAAAATTGTTGCATGTTTAGTATACCTCTGTATCTGGCACTAATTCCAAAGGAAATGCGAAACTAAAAGGCAAATCAATTTTTATATGTTTGTCGAGGGGCATATGGCAAAAGCTTTAGTTATAACAGTTGTAACCTAGTGGACAAATGAAAATAAATTAAATTACGTGCTAGTGTTCTTGAGATAAAGTTAACGATCTTGCTCAAAAAAGAACCTTTAATATCGATATATTTGCTATTGTATTATTTTTTTTAACATGCGGAATAAAACAAGTGGTGGCGGTATACTGTGCGATTTACCTAAGGTTACCTACTCAAACTTATTTGATTAGTTTCGTAAATCTGTTGTTGGTGCATTAAAGCCTACCTAATAAAATAACAACAAACTAACCAAATATATAAGCTTTGGTAGACCGCATACTAAATCGGCACCAACAAATTTTAAATAAACATCAATTTTTATTTATTTCTTAATTGGATTCTGATTACTTTTCTATATTTTCAACAAATTTATTAAATGTTTATAGATTTGCGCAACGATAGTTTCGACATTAATTATGCGACTTGAGGATTTGAGATGATTGAGGCACAAAATGTACGTATGTATGTCACCTTCTATTCGTTAGAATGGTAATCTGGTTGCTTGCTTCTCCAGAGCACTGCCTGAAATCCGAATATCAAAATCGGAGTTTCTGGCACTAAAATAGCTCAAATCTAAGCCTAATATGATCTTCTTAAATAAATACCACCAGACTCTACTAAGATGAAGTTCTCAGAAAAGTCTACTATCAATGCATGATTTTTTGCAGAAACTCTACCTCTCCGACTTGTCGTGTTTACCTTTTCCTATTCCCGATACACCGAACATCATCTCTCATCACCAGGAAAATTTATCAGCAAATATAAGAAGCTGTCACCGGTTCCCCACTCTTCGAAGCAAATATTTTAAGGGACAATTTCGAAAAAATAGCATTGATAAGTTTTACTTAACATCACAAGTATGGAAAAGAAATGTACTTATAAATAATAAAAACGTGGCCTCACGGTGACGAAGCTCCTCAGTTCTTTCAGGAACACATTAACTTTGAAACCACGGAAGGCTCTATGTATTATTGTCGACATTTAAATTAATCGCAGTTGTGAGTCTGAGAGTGAGAAAGAGGTCATGTTGGTCCCAAAAAGATAGCCCTTGTTTAATTTGAATTTTTATGCGTTTTGAACCGAACGAGGTATCGCTCACTGGGCACAATAATGGCGCATATAAAAAAAAATCTATTTTTAGTTAATTGTATCATAAAAGTCGAACATTTGTATTTTAACAACGAACAATACCGGCATACAGTATTTTACTTCAGTTCCGCTGGAGAGAGTTAGTGCCACTATTGAATTTCCCGCGTTTCTTAACGGCCTTAAGTGCAAAACCGGCATAAAGTCGTAGAGATGAGTTACGATGATTTTTTTTTATTTTAAAAAACTTACTTCTCAACTTCTTTTAACTTTCATTGGGGTAGTTCAGGCGATATTGTCAAAATAAACGACGCGTGTGTTTTCAAAGTGGAAAAAGATACTTCTGACACACATTTCTGTAAAACATCTTTTAAACTGACTCCAGGAGCATAAGCATTACGCAAAGAAAAATGCGAGCGGGCGCAAATTTTACATCTTTTGAAAATGGGAATCTAGACCGTGCTTATCGAGATTTTATACCAATTCCAAAGAATAAGTTTAATGACTTAATGGATTTGCTAAAAAGAAATGCTATTAAAAAATGTCACAGTCACTTTTATAATAGCTTGAAAGGTGCCAAAGACTGAAATGTCACTTTTTTTTAGTTACGTTGAAAATAGTACTTTTTGTTCATTTTCCAAAAACCAGGGCAGTTGGTTGTTTTTTTTTAATGTAGAATAGCTTAGCTTTTGTGTGTGCGCCTTGATAATTCTTGTTTAACAAGCTTTCTATCAAAAACTATGGGAGGGTTGTTTTTTAGTTATAGCTTTTCCATGTTTTTTGTAGTTATTGTTTACGAGCTAATGTTTATAAAGGCAAGTTTTTTACTGTTTATATTAATTTCCAGATTGGGTTTTTTTTAAAGTTACTACAAATGAACCTGCTGAATGATGTTGAAATTTTGATCTACTGTTTTATTAAGATTTTTTTATCAAAATATTGCACTTTATTTGTGAAATTCATTGGTGCAAAAAAAATCAATAAATGCACAAAATTTAAAAACATTTTAAAAAGAACCTCAAAAAATATTTTTTGTTTCAAAAAGGGAATAATACAAATCAATTTATAATATAAATTTTGCAATAAGTAATATGAGTTATCTCAATATTTCAGTTTTTATTTTCTTAAATCACTGATTTTCTCGGAACTATGATTTTGTGGATGTGCCACTATCGCACCGGGTGAGTGATATGGATTCGGCATCAGATTCACTCATTTCCAGCTGTCGAACAAGGACAAACTGTCGAAACTCAAAGATAGTCTCGAGCAAAAGGAGACGTACGAGCAGCAACTGCGCGATCACCTCAACGCGATCGACCGCGCAAACGCGAAGAAACGCGGCACGCTCGATGCGCATGAAAATTTTGCGAAAACCGTCAACGAGAAAAACTCGCAACTGCGCGAAAGCGCTAGAAAAATCATCGACCACTGCAAAGCCGCCTACCACGACCGTAACGCCGTCGCGTCTCGTGTCGACGAACAACGAAGCAAGCTGGAAAAGTCGACGCGTATGCAGAGTAGCCGAAACGACGCGTACGAAACGCGTATCGAAGAACTGACCAGTTCGCTGAAGAAAATCATGGCCGAGAACAACCGAAAGATGCGTGAGTCGAATCTTAGGAAGTGTGAGGTTAGGAAACGCGCTAGTTTGGAGGCGGAGCTGAAACGTTTGGAGGACGAAGACGCCACTATAGGGAGCGCCTTCGGCGACGTCAATGCGGCCGCGTTGGAAAAAGAGCTCGAAGAGCTCGACGTTAAGTTGTCCGGGTTGAGGGACGAGAAAAGTCGAACGGAACGATCAATTAGCGATTTCGACGTCGAGTGTGAAGCGACCCTTGCGAGGAAAAACGATCTGGTTGGTGGCTTGCAACGAAAGTGAGTGATTTAAAGTCTTTGTCTGTATACACGTAAGAACCCTTGCGTTCAAGCTGCGCATGACGTCACTCGTTGAGTAGTAGCCAGGCGTTTAAACGAAAAAATGCGACATAAAGGTGTGTGTGTGTGTGTGTGTGTGTGTGTGTCTGATTGTGTGAATGTGATGGATGGAAAATCATTGAAAAATATATATTTTTTTGTTTCATGACTATATTTTATTATTTTTACATAGAATGTGAGCTTTGTTTGTTAACAATTTATAATCTGTTTTCAAGTGTACACCGTGAATAAATAAGTAAATAGTATTAATAATAATATAAATAATAATAAATGCTGTATTTGCTTAAATATATAATTCATTGTGTCTAGCATAGTCAACAAAGGAAATGTTAAGATTATAAAATTCTAGCTAGATTGAGCAATGAGCAACTAGACATAAACAATGCAATATTCACACTATAAAATACACTTAAAAATAAAAAAAGACAAACAATTGTAATTGCCTGCTTGATTACTTATTATTTTGGTGAAAAACCTTTGAGTGCCGTATGCTGAGATCTCTACACTTACAAACGATTCAAGCATGTTTCGAAGCGCATTAAATGGTTTAACTACTACTACTTATGCGTTAAAGTTAATTGTTGTTAATTAATAATTATTAAAAAAAAAAGATGTTCCTCCAGAAAAACGCAAAAACCAAAAAAAAACCCAAAAACCCACCCGACAAATACAAAAATCCAGATGTTTGTCAACCTTAAAGATTTAACCGTATAAAGACTAAAGCACTTAACAATTTAAATTAGGAAAAAATATTAGTCCATTTCTTTTTTTTTCCGGTTTTGGTTTCACTCATATATTTATTAAGTTCTTTGATTCTAAAGAACATCCTAGATTTTAAAAAAATGCGTTTTACCTTCTCGGGACATAGTATAAACTCACTTTTTAACAATAAAGGTTTAATAAAATTGGTAACAGTGACCAAACCTTCGCCATTCATTTCAACAAACACTCTGTCTCTTCAATACTGCTCATAAATCATTTAATTTATGACATATAAATCCCACAATGTTTTTCAATCCACCATAAGCTAACTCATTTAACTCCTCAAGATCTTTTGCACCGTTCAGTGGTGGATTGAGTGCGGGTTTCAGTTTGGATGCCAATAAGCCCCTCATAGAAATATTTTTTTAGCTCTACTGACCGAATTCGCCACAAAAACGACAAATGAAAATGATGTTTATAACTGACACAGCTGTTTACATTTCGCATTGATTATTCTACTCAACGGGTGACAACGCATAAGCTCCGCCTACTGCGCATGATCCTATCTATTGTGTTGTTGTCCTGCGTAAGTACTACTGCAACCAAAACTGCGCGCTAAATTGCTCTACCCTCTCTCGATGAGGGTCAAAATTAACTCTGATTTCTTTAGCCAGTGCAAAAAGTATATTATACTTTTGAGTTCCCAAGATCTTCCCCGACAGCACGGGGATGATAAGGGGTATTACAACTATTGTGTCGGTTCGTTACTTGAGAGTGTACGAAATGCGAACAAATAGATATAATATAATGTACCGGGTGTTCCACTCATCAAGGACTCAACGAGAAATTGTTGGAAATTACTTTAAAGTTCCTGAAACGGCCGCTCGATGGCGCAACTTCTGCAATTTCTAAAAAAATATGTTTTGCCTAGGAAGTAACTGCTAAAATAATGTTAGATGGAAGTTTGAATATATTTTCCTTTAAATGCTGATCGCTTCGGATTTTGCTTTACAAAACACTAACCCTATTGACTGGTGAAACTCGTAGATATACACCTTACCCGCATGGCTCTGGCACTTTACAATCGGGCAATCATAATCAAACGAGCTAGGTCTCGATTAAAAGATCGCCTATTACAGCAGTCGTTAGAGGGCGTTTTACAACTTAGCAAACGTCGCGTTAATGAAAAGGGCAGCTGCATATCTTTTTTCAAACTGGCAAAATCCATCGGGAGTCTCTCACTCGAAAAACTGCGCAGGCATCTTTTGATGAAAGCGAAACCAAATCTTAATTCTTTGGTTTGTACTTTAGAAATTTCTATATCTCAAGGTCTTCCCCGGTAGCAGAAGGATGGTAAACAAAGGTATTACGACTACTAATTTTATGAAGGATCATATACGGAAATCATTAGTGAACATTTTTTTTTTGGCTCACACGATTTTTGTTTAACTGTTTCCAAGTGTTGCATGGCAGTTCTGTTATAAAGTCTCCATAACGGCAATTCGTGGGCCTCAGATTTTTTTTCTTTTTCCGCTAGAATTTGCGATTTGGAAAACGAAGTGACTTCGCGTTCGAAGACTAACGACGAGTTGGCGAAACGCGGTACAGAATTGTCGGAGGGCTTAAAAACTCTGTGTGCGCGTAAAGAAAGTTTAGAACGAGAATTGAGTCATACAGCTGCCACGTCAAAGTTGTTCGTAGAGGAATCAGAGAGAACCATCGCATCGGCAGAAGCGGAAGCGAATCAGATTCGCAAAGATGTCGGGGAAAGAAAAGCAGAATACTGCGCTATGGAGCAAGACAAAAGTCAGTTGCTCCAGGTAAAATAATCTTCGTTCTCTATTTTTTATGTCTATATTATGCTTTAAAGAGGTCGTTTTCTAGACATTCGCTATACGTCTCGTTAACAATTTCTTTTATTGTTTCTGTATCTTTGAATCTTTTTCTAAGTATCTCATTTGTTGCGGGAAAGTTATGAAATTTTCCGTTTTTCAGATTTTATTAGTGTTTGTTTTGTTTTGTAATCGAAACTTGTATTCAACTAGGGTTTCGATGTTAGGGTGGATAGCATAAAGAACAGATACGTAAATTCCGTGGAAATCGCTGCTAAAACGTTTTAACTCGGCGATTATTGCACCGCTCTATTTAATTTCGTTCTTAAATATGTACAGACAATTTCATAAAAAATATTTTTGTTAATTTAAAAATAACAAACAAACATAATAGGAACTGCTTAAGACTAAACAAAACAGTAAAAGAACGTAGCAGAAACTCTCCGAAACTTGAACAAAAAATGACTTAAGAACACACTTTAAGGATTTTGTACATAAGTGCTAATACTATAACACAAAATAATGTGGTGTGAAAAGGTTTCACAGTGTACTTTATCTGGGAAAATTGTTCGGGGTATCTTTTCAACTGACTTTAGAGAGCGTGGCACTCCGCTTTTATAAAATGTAGCGCCTGCGCTAGGTGAGCGTGGAACATTCTTTCGAGAAACGGCGTCTTTGTTCTTGGAACACAAACTGATAGCTCGCCGAGACCGTCGTGACTAGGGCCAGGCTCAGCCCAGTAGAAGTATTACTTCTGTAATACTTCTACTTCGAGCAGGTTGTTGCATATTTAGGTGTTTACCTTAAGACTAAGACGAACGGTGTCTAAAATATCTTATTTTTCTTTACTCACATGTAAATAAAAAGAAAGTTTGTGTTTCTTCGTGGAAATCAAATGTCTGCTATAGCCTGTTTGCTTCAAATAACTTAACAATTTTTTCGTTTTGTATTTTAAAAGTATTGCTACAATCCATCATGAGCTGTTTTTCCAATCTACTCATTTCTCTTCTTATTGGATCAATGCTAATTAACTAAAAATGGTACTTACTTACTTTACATCTTTGCGCACTTACTCAAACAATATTTGCAATCAACAGACTTAGAGTAAAATAATAGAATACAGACGAAAAAAACTTACCTGACGTAACCGCAAGCTATTAAAAAGAGAGAAAAAGTAAAAGAAAATCAAAACTAAAATTTTTCATATCATTAGCAAGAAAAAAAATTCTTCGTACACAATCCAGTCAGGAATCTAAATCTAAATTTTGAGTTTTCTTATATAACTTTTAAGTGAGTTAGCGAAATTAAATTCAAAAGTATCTATCTCATAGACATGAACTAACGTCAAGATTAAAGTTAAAATTGATACTGCTTAAAATATAAAAGCAGTCAAATGATGATGATGAATGAATTTAAAAAGAATGGTAGAGCTATCTTATAACTTCTAACGTTTCAAAATAAAACTATCCAAATAGACATTGGCAAAATATAGGAAGCCTAAAATCTGTTTTTGTGAAGAATTCTAATAATTCAAAGAACATCTTCGCTACTTTTTTATACCGTTTGTCCCTCGAACAGGAAATCGGACGGGTCGAAACCGAAACCGGCGAAGTAAACCAAGTGCTTACTGAATTAAAAAGCGAATTGCACGCTCTGCAAAATACCCTCCGTTCGATGGAAGAAACGGAAATAGAATTGAACGAGCGATACGATACGACGTTAGCCGAGAGCGAGCGTCTCGAAAGGCTCGCCGTCGAGAAACGTGAAAATCAACGAGAACTGACCGAAAGAATCGAAGCTCTGATTCGCGACGAAGACGCGATTATCGCCGAGATGACGATCCGGTTCGATGTCTCGAGGACGCAGCTCGAAAACGAAATCGAACCGACGGAATCGACGAAACGAAATCTCGAACGCGATATCGATGCGTTGGAAGCGCGTTTGAACGAAGCGAAGCTGAAGAAAGACGACCTGAACGCCGAAAGGGAGCGGATCAAGGAAGAACTGAAGCGGGCTAACACGAAATTCGACGAGACGTCGCAATGCGCGAAACGCTTTTCCGCTCTGATCGACGAGTCGCAGAACGCGAAAAAGGCCGAGGCGGAGCGAGCGCAAGCGAGCACGGAATTCGTCAGTCCGCAGGTGGTCACCAAGCCGGTGAAGCGGCACAGTAATTGGGACAGCGACAGCAGCATCGAAGCCGAGGCGATCAGGGACCTGCTGCGAAGGAAACAGAGGAAGGTGAGCGGCGGGTAACTTGAAAATAAAAGTGTTTCATTCCAATAGATGCATCGTTCAAATTAAATTATCATGGAGGCAACATAAATCTAATACTTATATAGAGAAGTATGGGGGTCCAACTAACATTTTTCGTTTTATAATGGCAACGGTTATGTTTCGATTTCTTATTTTATAAAACCTAAGAACTATCAATTCTTAGCGAAGCATTTTCGCCAGTCGTATGAAACCCCTATAGCACATAAAGAACCTTATAAACTTGGCCAAATTTTAGTCCCATATAAAACTCCCCACTCCACTCCCCATTTTTGTTACTGATATGGAACCTATCTACCCAATATTTATTATTATTTCGTGTCCCAAGTTGTTTGCACTGGACGTCTTACTAAATATTATAACAATTCAAAAACCCTAAAAATTCCCCCCATTTAAAAAGTAATTTTGGTAAAAACATGAAAGTTAAAATTGTGTATATTTTTTTTTACAATTAAAACGTAAAGAAATATGTCTTCAAGTTTCAGAAATACTGCTTGAAATGAAATATTCTTTCTTTTTTTATGAAAGTATTTTTGTCAATTCGAAAAAACATAACAATGGCCATATGATAGGGCTCATGTTACACCAGTATAGTGCTTTCAAGTAATATTATCTTACAGCAATAAAACATCTTTGTAGAATATTTATTAGGTATTTAAGGTTTATAAGACTCAAGCTATAAAACCCCCAGAATATAAGCCTTATAATAAGGTTTTTAAGAACACTATAAAACCTTTTTAAAAATTTGAAGTCATCAACGCCAATTGCTGTTGATAGTGTTATAGATAACATAACGGAAAGGTTTTTTTATTCAATATTGTAAAATTTGTCTAGGTATCTAGGTCTAGGTATTTATTGGACGTCTTACAAAGCTTGTGATACCAATGGTTTTCGTTTAATGCTATAAGAACTTTTATGAAAAATAAGTTCTCTTATGAATTCCTTATAAATATCGGTTACCTTATAATAAAACCTTAAGCTCCAGAAAATGTTATTTGGGTGACACAAGAGAGATAGCGAGAATCAGGTGACTACGGGCAAAATATTGGTTTCATTATATTATATGTAAACCCGGACGTTTTGTTTTGTTTTTTTCTATCTTAAAAAATCAATTGTTTTGGCATATTTCAAAATTAATAAAGTGCTCCTGAATAGTGTGAAAGTTCGGCTTACCCAACGTAACTCTTTAATTGAAATTCAGAAATTACTTATTTTATTAATTTATTGGTCCCTGGTGTTTTAATGTTGTTGTTAAATTTTCAATTAGCATGGTAATCACATATATATATATATATATATATATATATATATATATATATATATATATATATATATATATATATATATATATATATATATATTAATTTTACCTTGTAGTTTATTCTGTTTAAACAATTGATAAATAACTCATTATTTTAAGTTTCCCCGTTGATAATGATTTGATGATAATTTGGACACAAGGTAAATCGCCTTCAGAAAAACAGACAACTAGAAAGTCTCCTAGGAATAAACCTCAGAAAAAATGATTAACATAATCATGGGATGTGCAGCAACGAATCGGGGTAGAAATTGTTCAAAACGTAAATCTTTTTAGACACTTTAAAGTTAATAAGGATATAAATAGTTGCTCAAGGCAGGAATTTTAATTATTACTGTTATACAAATTTTTGAATCCAGTTAGGCTGGCTTATGCCTATCATATTTTGAAGGTTTAAATTTACCAAATCTGTTATAAATAGTTGGCTCTTTGGTAAACAAAATAATAGCTATTGTGTTTTTAACCTACACTTCTATTAGTTTGGCGAATATGTTGCTTTCTTCAACTTTACCGTTAAAAAGTGTGGTCGAAAATACTTATCAAAGTGTAAATTTGTGCGAAATAAGATACGAATGTGCGTATCTCAACTAGTAAAACCTTTATTCAGTCCATAATAGCGTCACTGTTTATTTCATTTGTAGCAGCAATTTTCACTTGAAATTTCAAAATTTTCCAATTACCAATTTCCAAAATAATTGAAACTATTATAGCAATGTCCCATGTATTTTAAATGAAGTCCTGGTGAGTTTTGCCCATAATCACGTGGTCAAAATATTTGGTTCTTGTCAAATATAATACACCTGATTAGCCCCATCTCTTACTCATATATGTTGTCCCCGCTTTGCTTATCGTTTGGTATGGGATAGGATTAAGAGGTCTGTGGGAAGTAAGCTAAACTACAGTTTTTAGTTTGCAATTTAATCAGCGGAATCAAACGACAAATGACAAAAATACCCTTTATTCGGTAACTTATGCTCCAGTGGTGGCGGTAAACAAACATGGCCGTAAGGAAGCATTTTATAATGTTTATCTGTTACTGTTGAACCTTCGACCGGATCATTCATTCTACCTGTATAACCGACAATTGTGGTGTGGGGTTTGCGGCAAATGGCGAAAAAATCCATTTTATCCTATTTAAATTGTAATGTGGAAAGTCGGAAAACTTAAAAATTTCTGACAAGGGGCCCTTTAAGTTTTCATTTTCAGGTTCGACCGCGTGTGAATAAACCAGGAAAATCCAAAGAATAATTGCGCACTGTCCACTTTTTCGCCACTTACTAGTCATAGATATTATTGTAATTAAAAGTGTTGAATTTTTTTCTTGCCTTTTATATCAAATTTGCGCAAAAAAGGATACTACAGAAGTAGACGAATCATTACTTAGTAATTATCACATGTTGTTTTTGTTTTAGTTTATTTTGAAGTTTAATAAAAAATTGTCACTAACCTGTTATAGATTTGTCTTTTTAGAAACCTAATCATTTGTTGTAGTTCTTAATAAAATATCAAAACGCAGTTCACGATTTCATAAAAAAGTAACGCGGCCAATAGCCCCAAAAAAATTTGGGTTCCTGCTTGTGAATTGGGATTTGGCGTTTTGAAACAAGAGATACGTCAACTCGACGCAAACTTTATGAGTCATCGACATACTATTTCTGTACTCTGTGTGCGCGTTTGTATAAACGACATCGAATAATGAATACATTAAACGCGGCAGGAAATGGATTTATCAAGAAAACCTGTCTGGGTGGATTTTAAAATATTTACTATCGGGCGATTCGACTGAAATCTGGTCGACGCGAATTTATTTTCTGATAGTGGCGCTGACAATAAATAATCTTACAATATCTTACGATGAAACCTATTTTATTCAATTTAACATAAATCATAATAAGCAAAACCTACAGCTACTAGATACATAGTTATGCTGATAATATAATTCGCATGTACATTCCTTTCGTTCACTAAAACCTTGCGTCGTTAAACAGTCAATATGGCCGGTGACAGTTCTTCGTCAATTCGACAGTTTCCAGTTTGAATGTGGCCTAAATGTGTGGAGGTCGTTGTTTAGAAAGGAAATGGCTCAAAGTGCAGTTAGAAATTTGTTCTGAAGTCGTTCAATTACAGCTAAAAACAGCATAATTTTTAATTTTTTTTTTTAGTTTCTGAGTAGATAAGGATCTAGTATGGCAAGACCAATCTGCATCTGAAGATTTATTTAGGAATGTAATGAGCAAAAAAAACCTAACATGCATTTTTTTTTCTAATTTAGAAACTAAAAATATAAATAATTATTTTATTGCGTTTTCACAGTATAAATAAAAAACAAAGGTATAGAATAGACTTTTTGTGAAAGGGGGGCGCAGCCAATTTGCTAAAAATTTGCTCGCATAGGAGTTGTTGACTCTGCTCTACCGTTCTAAAGTATTTTCATTATTGCAGGGTTGCCGCTTGTACGAACTTTTAAATGGAATGTTGTCATTTTTGTAAAACATTTCCCTGTACCTATTTCGGTTTCCGTGATATTATCATAATAGATATGTTCTACATTTTTCGGCGGAAGCAGACTCCAATTTAAGTTCTTATTCCTGGGTTAGTTGAATATTTAGAAATCTGAAGTTATTGCCGCCATTCTCCATCTTCCTACTGTTCATAGATATAAGAAAATGACTAACTGATACGAATTAAGGAAAGACCCGGGCAAGCTGTAAGAATGAAATATGGCCGAACAAGTCCCTACTTTGCTTAGAATTTAATTATTTGGGGTTTTGTTAGGAAAAGTACTAAACAATATTGATTTATTTATGTATATATTTATGTTTAAATCTAAAATAAGTTTACAAATTATTTTTATTACCTACTTAAATTACTTGAAATAAATAAAATAAATCAGCGGTGTCTTCATGGTAATCCATAGAAGAATCTTTAATATTTTTCGCAGACAGTTGGAATCCAACCATCTTTAGAGCCTGCATGCTTTCTTTTACTTGTTCTTGATGGCGCGTTTGTTTTCCACTTATCAGTTGAGTCAACCTAACCCTTTTCTGGGGTATTATATCTTGATCACTTTCATCTACACTCAAGAAAATGTCAGCATCGCTTCTTTTTTTCTTCGCTGAAATGGGATTATTCACAATTTTCCATACAGGAATTTTTCTCAATGTGGCCGTTTCTTCTAAAGATGCTTGCTTGCTGGCACCACATTCAATGAAAGTCAAATAAACATTGTTTATAACTTCCTTAGTCTCAATAGAATAGTGACTTCTACATTTGGGCTGGAGCATCTCCTGAGATCACTAGACTCGCACATATTTTGCATAATTCGCACACGACTCAACACACGCCGTATTACACACGAAATAAGAATGATTACTAATAAACTTAAACTAAGTAGTATACCAAACCAAAGAATATTAAACACAGGTAGGTACAAAATTATTTTCTATTACGGACCACAATTTTACCTGAATTTAAATTCCAAAACTTTAGGTAATAATCTTGTTGCATTGTATGTTAATGACCACCCTTGGATAATCCCATTCAAAAGCAATTGGTCACTTTCTTATATCTATGAACAGACCATACTAGTTCACTGTATAATAAATTCTGCGATGTACGGGATGTTTACAAAATCATAATTTTTCTGAAGAAGTAATGTTTTAAAAACTGAAATAACCTGTTTAATACCAGGGATTCTGAAAGAAAATGAATTCCGCTTTCATTTCATAAATAATGTTGCTAAGCGTACATGATCATTTTTTGGAAATAGGAAGCAACATCTACTTAGTAAGAAGTAAAAATAATTAGGAATAGAGATTGCATTGATAAACACATTCTTTACTAACGAGATTTGAAAAAGAATCAAAATGGGAATTTTCGAACGAAACTTTGAAGAAACTTTTTATTTTCTATGGGAGTGCATCAACCGTATCTCATCCGGCACATTAAGCGTAAGTTGTTAAGACCAGTGGGGTGTATTTTTTACGAATATGATTGACAAAATGAAAGATAGCAGTTTATTTGATATTTTGACACATAGCACAGTAATCGCTATCCCGACATTGTTGACATTATAGGATAGAATAGTTTTTCCTCTCTTTAGAAATTCGGCGCCCCAAACGTTTGATTACAAACACAGCGGCGCACGTGTCGCAACGGCTTACCATTGTCATATAATATGAATGAAATTAATATTTCCCGGTGCGTAAAAGACATCGTCTCGCCGACCCATAAAGCTTGAATTTTAAGTACCGAAATTTATCATTTCCGTACCACAGCGACTGTAAATATTTACGGTCCGAAGGCATATCGAATTCGACATGTTCTTATTGAAGGTGTATAGGTACCGCAGATGGCTAAAAAAGGAAACGCATCACAAAGTTGTTGAAATGGCTCAGTGTTTATCTTTATTGACAATTTTTTATATTTTCTTATCAATCCGAAGTGCTTAGTACACATTATAAATGTTATTTTGAATATTAATGTTACGCGTGTAACTATTAGCATTATTTATTTGTAAGCAGAATATTTAAAAATTATATAACCGCCTATCTTTCGGTTATATCGGTCTTAAGGCCGCTTGACTATAGACATCAAACAGATAACCGGAATGTAACCACTAGTGAAATAGTTTCTCAGCTTCTATTTCCCGACTGTGATTTTAAAAACGTAAGTGATTACGACATCATAAAAACATCAACATTTAGTTGGTCGGTGATTCACAAGTGTTTTATATGTGTGGTTTATCCACCGAATTTTAAGTTACATGTAAAGAAAATGACACCGACAGTCTCTTGTAAGAATCCTACCGACTGCGCATTGCCCTGGCATGATCATTATTTCTGAACCGTATCCTCAATGTAACTTTCGGCAACTTAAGATGTCGTTTTAATTGTGTGATGTCAGCACTTAGCGATTAGTTTGTAATGTTGCTGAACAACGACGAAAACCCATATATGTCTACTGACTTAATGTTTTTTTTTAACGGATGAAGAAACGATAAAAAAAGTCATCAGATGATTTGGGAATTTTGACATTTGACAAGTGTTTTGTTTCTAAATATTAATTGAATAGTTAATAATAATAAAATATGGATCATTATTTAATAATGCTATGTATTTTATAATAAATTATTAAGCGTACCTATAGCCTACAATATAAATCAATATAAATAAACAAATATAAATTTAATTGTATTTTTAAAATTGTTTCTGTCAATTGTTTTTTCTGTGATATTGCAATATATTAGTAAATTGTTCTCGTCTGCATGCTCTACTCTAACTCTCAATCAACAAAACTGATGATTTTGCTCAGAGTTTATCGATGTCCATTTTATTTAATACTCTCGATTTATTTGCTATTTATCTTTCTTCGATATTTTTCGTCGTATAATTGTAGTTTTTTTTTTCGAGCCAATATGTAAATAGAACATCTTATTAAACATTTTTAGTTGCCTTTTTTTAGCGCTTGTATTGTCAGAATTTCAACAGACTCTTTCAAAAACAAATCGAGGTTACCAAATGCCTCCTGCCAATGGTCTTCATTATTTACCCGATATTAGTCGGGATTGGTGACTAATAGTTCCGCTTCGAATTTACCATTACTGTTTCACTTTTGGTTGGAATTGTTAAAGGCGTTGTGGCCAAGTCAACGCCAAGTTTGAAACGAAAAACTTTCTTTTCACTCTTTCTTGACGTCCTCGGTGTGTAGAAATTCGTCAGGATCTAATCCTCCGATTTTTTATCAGGGTTAACGGTAAATCCCGCAACGAGATCTGGGGCGGGGAAAATTAAATGCACCCCAGCTGTGACGACGACAAGTGACAAATCGTGAGAGTGACACTTTTCTAATGGGACAAGTTTCCTTTATGGTCATAAATGTGGTTGTGAGGAATCGATAACAAGCAAGCGGTTTGAGGTTCTAATCTGAGGTTCCCGAAATACGTCCACGCAAAATTGAAACTATAGATTCGTTCCAACCTCAAATCGCAGACGACTTTGTGGAACATTTTACCGACTACCCGCGTATCCGTCAGATTTGTTTGTTGCGAATCAACGAACAACAACGGGACAATAAAATACCATATAACGTTATTCGGTTATCAATCGTCTATGATCTGGTTTGTGCTTTATCATTGCAGAGGAGTTTCGATTGAAGACTTTGACGAAAGCTCGAGTCTTATGGTACAAATAAATTTGAATCATATATATATATATATATATATATATATATATATATATATATATATATATATATATATATATATATATATATATATATATATATATATATATATATATATATATATATATATATATATATATATATATATATATATATATATATATAGACAGAGAGAGAGAGAGAGAGAGAGAGAGTCTAGAGGTCGGTAAAAAATCTTACATTTACTATCGC